CCTGTACGAACAGAACGGTTCGTTTGTAATTAAACGTGATGAATTAACTTAATGTGCTAATCCCACAATATTGGGCTGTTTGGGCTGCAATTCCCCCCTTATTCTTCTCCCTCAGAAATCTTGCCCTCTAGTTCCGGTCAATGCTTTGGAAAAAAAAAAAAACCTACCCTTCGGGAGTCCTGTTCCACTTCCTTCTCACAGATCCACCTGCCAAACGTGCCTAGAGTTAGCACCGGGGCTTGTCTGGTTGTGACCGAATCTAAAATCGAGAGAGGTTTCAGTTAGCCCAGGACAGTACAATAGCCCGTTTTATACTGCAAAGCTGCTGGGCAGACTTTCCCCCAAAGAATGTTACACGGTTTATTTTGACAATCGGAGGGTGCGGGGGAAGCGAGAGAAAGGGAAAGATTTACGATTACCATTAGTAATTTAATCCTAAATTCGTGGGCCATCTCCATCAAGTCAAACAAGCAACCGTCCACGCTTTCCTTTCTGATGCACACGTAGCTGCAATAGATGATTAACCATGGATCAGCTGCTTACGCAGGGAAACATAACACAACACGGTGTCTACCGGCAGTTTGGGAATTTTTGAAGAGTAAAAAAGTGGTGCGAGGGGGCAAAGTATTATCCTTTCCCTCCCACCTCTTCATCAGTGCCGATTTTCTGACCTGCCTCTTTGTTTTCTTCACGAACCTAACTTCAGACAAAACATCCCACTAATAGGTTATATGGGGAAACCCCCTTTTCCTGGAGAACTGTACCAAGAAGCAAAAGCCAAAGAATTAGCAGCAATGAGATAAAAGGGGTTTTTTTAAACAAAAAAGAGTAATTGTATATTTTTAAACGGGGTTTACATCTTTCTTTTTGAACCCATTGAATGATTTATCCCTAGTGTTCCTAACAGAGAATTTAGGACTGCGAACGTAATACGATTCCTTCCAAAAATGTCTAATCTATGATTCAGATCAAACCCGCACGGATCCAGGTATGTATATGCACGAGATTTCAAACAGCGATCTTTCCATTTCAGTGGCTCTAAATTCCTTCCACTTTCGTCTAGCGATACAACCGAGGCGAAATGAAATGCCTTCTGTAAACGGGTTGGAACTCTTCTTGATTCTGACTGGGGGGGAAGCAAGAAGGCACGTTTGAAATTAACCTTAAAATATGTTTTGAAATATGCCTGGATTTTTATTTGTATTCCAAATGAACAGCACATTTTGGCGTTGAAACTGGGTCATGATTAAAGAAGTTTGCACTTGTGATTTCGGGAGGGGGGGTGAGGGGGATGCGATTTGTGTAGCTGAGCTATGAACTGCAAAGATGGAGTAAAATGTTCAGTTCGCCCCCCCCCCCCCCCCCCGCCCGCCCCCCCAACGAC